CTAGGAGTCTATATTCAAAGCTAGACAGACAAGAGAGCCCAAGGCAAAGGTCCCATCACCGACAAGTCCAGCAAGTGACCTTACGTCCACCGACACATAGACATTCTCCTCCCTGGTCCTCCCTGCAGGGCAAGCCAGTAAGGCCAGCAGGTCCCGAAGGCCCTTCCTACCACTGCTTATACCGATCAGCCAGGGGATTTGCCATGCTCTATTTCTTCAAAGCCCTCACACCAGCCACCAGGCAGTGGCTGCTAGCTATTTTTGTTTCATTTTCTAATCTGGTATGACCTGAAAGGGTTTTGTGAAGCTAAAGTGAAAGAACATGATGTACATTAATTGTCTGTAAGCCTGCCTTTGGGTTATTACAATATCCAGTTGACCAGACACCATGCAGGATGGAATATTGGGACAACTTTAGAAAGTGTACTTAGGAAATTTCTCCTTGACACCAATTTAATAATGAACACAAATAATACTGGTATAAGTAAAATAACAATGTAATATGATATCGTACTTCACTTGTTCCGAATTTTGAAATAGTGATGTTCATATTTCAAATTATATTATTAATTTTAATTTTGGTGATATTAATTCATACCTATATTGTGACATGTTTATTTTCACACCAGGATTCGTTTAAAGAAAGTTAATATCATTAAATGAAAATATTTTATTTTTTTACAAAGAAAGAAAAAAAATAATATTTACAACCCCATGTGCAATAATGAACGCTTATTACATGCACAATAATACCCGAGTGCTTTGATAATATAACAGTCCAGAGTACAAGTGTTTAGCATTACAGAGAAAATATGAGGCACTTGCCACATTTCAATCATCACAATGCTAAAGGTATCCTTCAGCGGAGTGGATATTTCTTATTGTGAATTGTTTGCCTATGTCATTATTCTGGCCATTACTGGTAAAAAGGAATTGTTTCTTGTTGTTACAAAACACATATGGATCAGCAATCATTACTACTATCACAATATGCTAAGCTGAAAAACATTAAAGTTTTTTTTTGTTTTTTAGCATTACACTGTTTTGGATGATAATGAAGAAGCTATTTACATATAAATATGAGCTGGGCTATACGATTACAAAACACACCACAGTGCAATCAAATATTAGCAATGCTCTTTCTCACTCAAAAGAAGATTCCCTTTCCATTATTTATACACTGCTCTACTTTCGATAGGGATATTTATATTTGTCCAGGGCACTAAAAACGTATTCTATGTCAAGTGTATATTAAATATATGACACTTCCCTATCCAATGTTGATAGTAACAGCAATGCATCCTCACAACTTATGCTAAAAAACTAAAAAGGTGTAAAAATGAGTATTTTTCTTTGCCACAAAACACAAAATGATCAAATCTCCAAAATGCTAAGTCTAGTCAGATTACAGGGGTGCTACATCAAAACGTCAACCTTACTGGGATCTGATGGTTCGCCAATGTCCTCCCCAGTCCAAAACACAAATAAACGTAGTCATAGCAACAAAAATCTTTTGCTTCTTAGTGTGTGCATAATCACCACTTATGGATAAGGATTATAATATATGAACTATGATTTTCTTTTTGTAGTGTACACACGTGATCACTTGCAATAGTTGAATTGGTACAAACATGAACTCTTTGCAATGGGCTGTGAAAAGACAAAAATATACTACCATTTCTACAGTTCATTATGAAGATTATGAAGACAATTAGGACATCTGAAATAAGTGTTTGTAATCGTGTAATAATTAACTGTCTGTGATTTTCTTACTGAGTCCAACATGTTTACAGTTCAGCATATTTATAACTTAACTCATGACCAATAGAAACTTCTTGAATTATTCACTGCTTTTTTCATACATTTCACCAACCTCTCCAGGTCCCTTCGTTTAAATGTCCTAAGTAACGACAAAACAAGATAAATAGGACAACTTAATGGCCGTGAAACAAGCTTACGTATTGATCTGTCAAGAGCAGGGTTTCGAAAAGCACTTAAAATATATCTCCCCTGTCATTTGTCATTAAGGTCACTTGTAGCATTTGTCCATCATAATTGCAATTAGCAGTCAACTGTGTCAAACAGCATCTATCACAATGAGTACCCTAAGGATCTAACATGTCTACTTTCTGCCAGCATATTCCAATTCAATGTGTTCATTGCAGTTCATCCTTTTTTTATATCACACATTTTGAAAAGTGCCTTTTCTTATCCACTGTTTGAAATTTCTTTTGAATAGTTTGAAATAAGATCACCAAGAACTTTGTCTCTTTGTTTTAAAAATTACATTATTTAACTATCCAAATATTACAAGTTCTGTTGGTTGCTGTGTCGCTCTTTCAAACTGCTTTACACTCCAATAACCAAATTTTTTGTCTTTTTGTTTAAAAAATTTCAAAATAATTTTTAAGTCACATATAATATGTTCTGATGTCTGCAGTATCTCATGCATGTAGGTACATAGTGACATTTGAAAGATATTATAAATCCCAGATATTGCTAATATAGATAACATGTTTAGCAATAACGATGTTACTAAGCCTGGTTCATTATCCACCACGTTGGGTATATGTAACAGGGTCTCAACACCAGATTACTAAGCTAAGTTGACATCAACCCAGTAATCTTCACAAATCCCACTAATGCAATCACCAATGTAACGCCATTATTCTAGCAAAGAAAACATCCTGTAAGTACTTCATATGCTTTTCTTTCCAACAGAAAAAATGATAATACTGTATATAGTATTTTCATAAGAAATAAAATTACTGTTTTGACGCGTGACAATTTATAAACTTGTGTGGTCATTATAGTAAAGTAATGAACATGCTATTTGACTTTCCGATGCATAACAAGTTGTATTTCCTATCTGCCATTACGTCTCCAGTGTATCCTGTCCAGTTAGACGTATGTATGTTTACCAGAGAAATATAAATTCTTATAGAAGTGAAAAGCAAATCACAGGGACTTGGGGCCTGGTCATTCTGGTAACAGTTTCCTGTAGTAAACCCTAGATATGTGTGTCTGGTTTCAACAAGGTATAGAGTTAACACTCCAACGTAGACAGATTTTTCACAGACAGAAATTTGATCCCTCTGATGTCATTGATTCACTGAAATCTTCAAATTATCACGAAAATCTTATTACACATTCGTTGCAGTATTTCGTTAATGATGTAATGTGATTTCACTTCCTTTTTTTACATAGTAGCTTTCCATGCGATTGTTGTGATAAGTATTCGTCACACGATGATCCAAAATTAATACCAATAGAAAAAATGTCTTCACTGCTAAAATATTGCACAGAAACGACCATTTTGTAAACAGTTACTATACACTGGCATTTTGATGGTTGAGAATGAACTGGATCGCTAATTTGCTAATATTTCCTGTTGACTGGGTTGCTTTGAAGTTCACTATGATACACGTTTGAATGTCCTATCGCAAACGCAACGCCACTATAATTAAACGGGGAAAAAACAACACATTTTATATATCAAAGCAAACTTGTTTCAGTCTGATTACTATCAAAAGATGTTGAAACATTAGGACAGCTATGTCCACTATTTTCTCAGGTCCTGATGAAACTGTACTGCGGATAGCTAGATGAGGAACCTATTTATTTATTTTATACATGACCCAACTGTCAAAAAATATTGATCACAATTAATTTTAAAAATCTCAAACCTTCACAAAAGAGGGTATTTGAAGACATATAAACAAGAAATTGAAAGCTTACATAATGACACATGGGGCTTTTTTAAATAAAAAGGTGATAATAATATAATCATCTTTTAACCTGATGATGTTTTCAATGACTGCTTTGATTCCCGAAATAGAAGTGAATACTGACAACAAACACCAGTTAACCCACCATTTATTTATGCCAAACACTGTTCTTGTTTTCAGTTCACAAAATATATTTTAGAGAATTAAAAGCTTTAGATTCTGGGGTGTTAAATCAAAATGGCCAAACATTATTTACTATCTTTGTTTAAACACACGAGTACAGAACCAATTTCAAAAGTATATAAACAATATTTGGATTACAAATAAGAAATATGTTCAACATTGAAATGTCACATGATAAATCGTCTTTGTTAAGATTATAATAATTCATTAAATTCCAATAATAGACGTAGAACCGAGTAATGTTCTTTTTTTAGCTTATTTTGATTACACCACTACAGATATCACTATTCATAGGAATGTTTTAAAGGTACTTGAAGGCACATGTTGACGGACCAAATAAGCAAATAATGAAAATGAGTGAGTATATTATTATGTTTGCTGAAATCATTCAAATTTGCTGTGTAATAGCCTAGCACTCTGTATTTCATAGCAGTGGAATACCCGAGTTGTATCTGCCCCTGGATGTTATTGTTTTCAATGCATACTGTGATTCAATGTGGCAAAATGTATATCGCCTATACCCTGCCTATATCTCATTGGCAACCTGTGCTTTAACAGAAAATCAGAATCAAGATATTCCCTCAACACACACAGGGCAATCCCTCCAACCCACGCAAGCCGAGCCTCATAACATCAAAGGGTTCGACTCACTGGATTTACTGACCCAGAACATCGTCAAAATAGGGGCCGATCGCATCAAAACAATCCGGAAATGCTTCATATATCCTCTCATTTTTTACAAAATAACCTTTAAAATGGGATATGTAAACGTCAGGGGTATATTGGAGCTTGTTTGCTACACTCTGCCCGTCGCAATGCTGGTATGTGCAGGGCCATTGTCATGCATATTGCGAACAATGGACGGCAGACAATAGGTGCATACTTTTACACATCAAAGGGAAGCCGTTGTGAACTGTATTTGCTGCAAATCGGGGCACATATACGCCATATTATCAACCTCAAATATACAGTAAAGCCTGTGACCTCTGGCTCGTTTCCTGATACAATCATAGTATCCATGTCGGTAATTGTGGTGGTAACTTTTGGCCTTTTCATGGCTGTTAGCAGAGCTGCCTGATTAGCACCTACCATCCTCTGGTCGTGTTGTCCCACTCTTCTCGCTGCCAGAGTAATTTCCCGGTAAACTGCCATTTTTTCCCTAAAACAAAGCAATATGAGAGATATGAGGGGAAATATTAAGCAGATAAGCAATGGGAAGGCGCGATCTCGTAATAGCTCCGTCCTAGCTGACCCCAACAACATCAAAGAGAGATGAAAGACTAGCACTCACCTCTTCGGATTCGGTGACTAAACCCAACTTTTCCTCCGAGAGGTTTTCCGATGATCTTTTTTCCTCTTCACCCTCATCTTTATATACTTTGACCTCATCTTTCGAGTAAAAATCCTCTGAGCCGCCTGAACTCATATGCGGCATGGTCAAAAGTTCTCCACTGCGATCTAATTTTCGCACAGGATATTAACGACTCTCAACACACGTTTTGAATCCGCCATGAATACTACGTAAAGGCTAGCAAATAGAGACCAATCAACGCCGCGCTCTCTGTATCGGCGACCAATGAAAAGCGCCGTTACGGCTGGGGTTAGTCATTCGTCATGTAGCAGTATAGCAACTAAACTGTGCTGTGTTATTCTCGTCTGAACGTAAAGTTTGCCTCCTCTTATTGCAAGATAAAAGTGAACTGGATCAATCAAAGACTAGGGATGCTCTAGGCTGTCTGCAGTCACATGCACGGCTAGTTGTGAGCGTCTGGTCTCTCGGTCAAGCACCATTCCTATGTATTATCCATGTTGGTTTCCTCGACGTTTTTTCTGTATATCCAATGCTAATGGCCACATTTGCACATATAAACATCAACAAGCGCCTATCAATAAGTTCTGAGGGCAGATTAAATTATGGCTGCTACACCGACATGCATTCGCTCTCTTTGCCAAGAACAAAGCTCGGGTCTGGCCCCTGCGCTGTCGCCCCTAACATTCTTGTTATGCGCTAGAATTAGATGTTTTCAGCGAGCTCCCTTTGATCTAGCCGCGTATCTACAATCTCAGCCATCTCTCGTGAGTTGCTCGCTCCGAAAGGTCAAGAGGCGTTCCGCTTGGAATTTCTCTTTCTTGATCGTGCCTAAACTTCTACGTCCACGCAAAATCATTTCATTAAAGTTTGAAAACGATATTCAAATAATATTAATTTATTTGTGCTCCGTGAATGAGGCCAACGCGGAGAAATTTAGTTGAGACCGAGCACTCGGCGGCTCCCTTTGAAGTGTCGGAACGCCTTTGTGATACCTTATATGGTAGTGGCGCCCGAGCAATGAGACAAGATTTGTTTACACTCCATTTCCTTTGTAGCTACCGCCACCTAGCGGATGTGCTCTGCGAAAATGCTTATCTGAAATTCATCACTCGAAATCGTTCCTTAACGAATTTTTAACATGTTTAATATAACTGCGTTTTCATGAATGACGAATTCAATTTGCATCGCGTGCGCCATATGCAGTTCTTACACTGGTGTAGATCGCTGCCACTTTTTACAGCATGACATCGCTCGAAACACTGGATTTTCTATTTCTTAAATTTAATTAATATGGATGTCAAGAAGTCGTGTTGAAATCGTGAGACGGGGCGGGTCGGTTGACGTGGAATTAGAAGCATGGACGTAAGTACTATCAAGCGTAGACGGGGTCTGTGGTCGAGCGCCTCAATCCCAGGGCTGATGGACTACGGGAAGATATAAGCCGTTGATGTATGTATAGCACTTACTTATTCCGTCACCTTAAATGACATTCGTCGACATGTCAAGTCGAGGTTATTAACAATAATTCTTTCACATTTTCATGCATGGGTAGGCTGGACCTATTGTAATTCGAGATATTTGCTCATTTTGTATGATGATCGGATAAGCGGTCGAAAATATTGGTGGCAATTTCATCGGATATTCGGCTACGAAGGAGAATTATGTCGCTATGAAACGATCGGAATTATTGAAATAGACAGTTGTTGATTTTCGTGCATTCCATGCAGCAGATATAGTTTGAAACCAAACTGCAATATATTTGAGTTTATTCAGTGCAAATAAAACATAAACTCACACATGCTTTGCAGAGTTCTCATTTCTCTTGTTTCTTATTATTTATATCAGATAGGTATCGGTTCAATTAGTTTATAATTACAAATGAATATATATATCATGTTCATCATATATAAGAAATATTATATCTTATTTGCGCATTTATATGATTTGAATCAAATAATATCTTCGTAATTTGATCGAGGAATTCAACATGACACTGGTTGGTTCACATGTACTGTTTGAATAATATTGTCTTTTTGCCTACAGAAACAAAATTGTATCTAGAAAGACCGAACTGCTTTATTCCTATACAGTAATCTAAGAGTATACGGACATTATCGTGCTGTGTTCGTCAAATGTCAATGATCTTTATAACCTGCAACGCGTTTGTATGTGTCGTTTGAACTTGCAATTTTGGGCTCCAAAGGCAACACAGTTTAGGCTATTGTAATGTTTATTTATAAAAGGCTAAGCCACATCATTTATGATGCTCCAATACTAAAAGCAAAGTAACAAATTTTCTTTAGAAAGTCGTTATTTTTATTATGTCGACTTCAAAAGAAAACGAAATGGTTTGAATTAATTATTCAACTTCTCAACACAATTAAATGACTGGAGGTCGTTTGATCGGAAATTAGATTCACTTGACGAAATATTTTTATTTATTCACCTAGTACGCACTTAAATAATAACGTAAGTGAATATATAGTTTAACATATAAAACACAAAAGGTATAGAAAAGGGACACAATCATGGCCCTATGCCCTTATTAATACTTTAAGTTAACAAAATCCGTTGTAGCCAGATCGCTGTCGGTTCTGAATGGGTGTACTCATTTTGAGTATTTTATTCTTCAGCTCGACACAACAATTTTCATTTCAACCAAAGCAGGTATATCAAAAGCGATGATGCGCAAACTGCAATATGACAAAAGGTAGGAATTATCTGAAACTTAATACCGTATGTTTTGGAAAGCATTGTTTTTCTTAGAAATAGTTTCACCAATGGCGACCTGGCCCGAGCGGAATAGCTTGTGTCTGTGTTGGTGGGGGACTCATGTGTGAAATCCACAACGACAGATCCATTGCAAGGTCCATCATTATTTATAATTAGTTTAAGAGTCCACATCGCTTCGCCCTTTGAAGATGGTGGATGGGTGGTTCGCTCAGAATGACTGTTAATTGTTTTACGAATTTCCTGCCGAAGATTCCACCTGACTCGCCTTGTCCAGTTAGCTAATGAGACCAACCTCCCCCTCTCTCCCCCTCCCCCGGCGCCAGCCCCCTCCCTGCCGATCATGTATTGTTGCATAGAGTTGCGTGCAATCGTGTGAAGCCCTGGGGGTACGTATCCCTTCACGGTTGGTTCGCGCCTGAATGGGTTCATGCTAGTTGAAACCATTCGCAGGGGTCCCACAAAACCCGTGGGTTATATATAACACTGGACATAGGTACACCAGAACACACCAAAGTTGTTGGGTAGTCGCACCCGTAATGATGGATAAATGCAGTGTTGTGGAGAACACATCCCGGCGTTCCCAGCGCCGCTCGGAGCGTCACCAGGGCAGGGTCCCGCTTGCTTTATATGTCCCTTTTATTACTTTGAAATTGAATAACCGTACGCTTTAATAAAGTGGGGAGAAAGGTCTTTATGAATCTGGGTTTTCCATGGTTGAATGCGGCATTAATAGACTCGGATGAAAATGGAGTACAACAGGCATTGCATATACGGGCTTAAAAGAAGAGCGTGTAGGCATCCTCTTGGTATTCCCTGTAAGACGATATGTAGTTTATAACAGCGGTTGAGCTTGATACATAACACTACCTAAGATGTTCTATCTTTTATATCGACATGCTTCAAATAGGTTCTATCCATAGAGAGGATAGACGTTGGAGGACTTTATTGCTATAGAAAATATGAGTCACAACAAAGACTCGCCAGAAGTTAGTTTTCTTTGTCCAATTTTGACACTTCGATATCAAATATAATTATGTCTAAGGTTTCTCTTAAGAGGACGGAAAATGTATATCCTGTTATATAAGTTTATATATTTTCACAACTTAATGAAGTATATATATATATGCATGTGTCTTGGATATAACGTACAGCATATCGCACAGGAACAACTCAATATATGCTAAGACTATGCTTTCAAGGGATTAATACGCGCGTATTTATCATTACACGTTAACTGTTTAGACGGCCGTGATATGAAGAGCTTGTCACATAACAATCGTCATTCCATTCAAAGATGTTAGCATTCTGCATTGTCGAAAGGTTTCAATGGCCCCATACATGTGTATGTTCAAAGAGCTATATAACAAACATGTACAGCATAAATCTACACGGATTATATATGAATTACATTACTTAAGAAAAAAATTTTAATTGTTTGCGCCAATGTTAAAAAGAATGTAGATAAGAAATGCATTGTTAAAATCTACAAAATCATTTATCATGCCATGGCTCAGTGATAATCCAGACACACTATATATGCACGCACGTGTGTGTGTGTGTGTGTGTGTGTGTGTGTGTGTGTGTGTTTTGTTTTTGTTCACTTCCGACACTATAACTTAAGTGTTTCATATCAGTATGTGAAACGAGTAATATAAACTTGTTGCAAAGTAAGTATATATTTATACATCACAGTAGATAATCTATTATGTATAAAACATCCGTCGAGCAGAGCACGGATAGAAAGAAGGAAGTCCGAGATTAAAGCACAAGTGCTAATTTCGTTACTAATAACACCACACTCACTCTGAACAGGTCGGCAATGTATTACACACTGGATTACATACACACGAGCAATAAAACAATAGAATACGCCCCATAGCCGAAGGGGGAACATTTCACCTGAATAATGCTATTACGTCATCAAGACTTTGGGATCGCCAAGCACTTGTCCACCTTGAGGTATACACAACCTGACTTGACAATTGAACGAGTTACTGCTAATGGCTGTTCTTACCTTTTGCTTACTTTGCACTTATCATCCAAGTGTTTGAATCGATTTGCATTGTTAAAAATATAAATTTACTTTTAGTAGAGATTGCAAATTGTTTTGTTAGTATTTCTATAATGTTCCTACACCCGTATATGTTATTTTGTACGGCATGATATAAACATTAAATACTATTTGTCAGACTTTTGTGACTATTTGTGTATGTTTGTTGAAAAAACACCAAAAACAGTAACATCCCCGAAGTACAGCAAGAATATTTAAAATGTCAAATTGCAGTTTTATTACATCACAAATTTTAAAGACCCGCTGGGCGTATTATGAGACGTTAATGCATTTACATTATAATGAAATCCGTACAATAGCGGCATAAACGTCTTCACGGTATATTTTATATATTAAGAGTAATACTGTATGTTATGACGCGGGTAGTGGTATGGGTTGTCACGGCTGAGGCACAGAACATTGTATTGATTTATAGCGTTTTAATTATATCTCGCGTGTAAGGTCGAGTTTCCTCTTATTTCATATTTCTGACGTACCTGAATGACTCAACCATGACCTAACATTTTCACCTGTCCAATATATATTGTTATTAGAAGGGGTTTGATAGAGAGACTATCATGCAAATATACCGCGAAAACTTTTAACGTCATATGGTCACACTCTGCATATGCATGTGTCATACATGTAAGTGTATGCAATATTATATTATTATTTGTATTACTGTGAATTAATCTATATGCTTGAAATTGCGTAAACAAACTATCTGATTTGTGAGCAACAAGTAATAATTGTACCAGCTTATATATAACAGAAGTAAATTAATATATAAAAAATATGAATAAAGTATATAAACCGCCGGGCAAAAGAAAGTTTATATATACTTAAAAATTGGATTTCACCAAAGAATAACGTTATCAAAGCGTTCCAAGGCTGATCTGCGTGAAATACTCATTGATTTGATGCATGTAAGATCTTCTATGATACCCGCATGAAATACATCACCATGGAATAAC